CCCGGGATCTTGTGACAAGGGCCTGACAGCATTTATGGGATTCCTCAAAAGAGACAACCATTGGACCAATTCCCTCAGAAGGCAGACACCGTGCCACCAGTGTTCCCTCTAAGCTGTCGAGTCTTGTGAGCAGAAATTCTACTTTGTGAGCTGCTGGCATTAAAGTTGTGTGCCAGCGATTTGGCCACTGCATAAATTAGTTTGCTCTGGAGCCATCCTCCTGAGCTAAGACAAAAATGCGTGAGCCAGAGGCTAAAAAACTGTGAGCTAGCTCACACTAACTCAGCTTAGAGGGAACACTGCGTCCCGCCATTCCAGACGCGCACCCCATCACATCAGGCCACCAACCACACCGGAGTATGCAGAATTCCACGGGCTTAGACTGAAGCAATGCTGCATGGCACAGCACTGTAACCGACTGCGGGAATGCAGCAGATCTAGAAAACCTAAACACCAAGGACACAGCCATTCACATAAATACAAGAAGCTGCTTTACACGGCCTGAGACCACCCGTCTCCCCAAGATCAGTCTTATCAATTCAGACTGGCGGCTGCTCTCCAGAATTCCCAGCAGAGACCTTTCACGTCACCTGCTGCCTGATCCTTTCAACTGATGATGATTCCAGGGATTGGACCCTGGACCTTCTGCATGCCAAGCAGATGCTTTACAACTGAGCCACAGCCCCTCCCTGTATCAATTTATGCAATGTATCCTGAACATGTATATGCCAAACACTTACTTACTTACCAAGTAAACAGGTAGACTTTGTGCTTTATCATAGTGACGTTACAGCCACCCGACAAATCTCCGTTAGCCAATAGACTGCAAAATGTTTTACTGGATTGCCGACCCAGACACATTATGGCATATTAGCAGCCTGGAAAAGGTAGCCAGGGAGAGATAAACTTTTCTAGTTTACAGAAACTTCACTGCCCAGAGGCAATGACCACCGATGGACAGTTTCGTACAGTAAATGAACCAGTTACTTTTTAAAAACTGGCTAGCCCTAAGCCCTCTTTGACCACACCTGGCCCATCCACACCCACAGATTTTGCAACTTATAACAAATGGAGAGGAATGAGAGGAAGACTATCAACACACAAAGAATGGCAACAGAACGGCAGGAGCACAATAGTAGTAACACATCAGCCCCTCGAGGAGCCAGGCAAGTTCTTCCACCTGCCTCCAGATCTCAATCTTATGTATTTCCATTTTATACGGAACAGTCATAAAATAAAGATTCTATGTATGGACATATCAAAAAGTTATAAATGTAACAAAGTTTGAGTCCAGTGGCATCTTTAGGACCAACAAAGCTCTGTTAAACTGTTTAACTAAACTTTGTTGGTCTTAAAGGTGCCACTGGACTCAAACTTTGTTCTATTGCTTCAAACCAACATGGCTACCCACCTGAATCTAAATGTAACGTAAACTGTCCAGGTCCCCACTTCAGCTAACAGGAGAGTATTAATATCTACATAAATAATAAATCATCTTACTACCAGACTCAACTTACCTGAGGTTCAACAGAGAGCAGGGCCTTCGACCCTCCAGTTATTCACTTGAACTGCTTCCTACATCCGAAGATACACCAGCACTTATTTCAGAGACAGGCCTCATGCCTAGTACCTAACTGCTTCTCGCAGACATGTGGAGAAGAGGACAACAGTGTCAGTTCCAAGGAACACATCATTCGCTCAAGTGTCAAGGTCAACTTGCACACCTCAGCTTGGTTGTTTAAGGCTTTACAAGTGAAAAGGGTGGAACAGGATGTGCTATTTCCATACCTATTAATCTCCGGACAACTGCCTGACGACTTGACCAGGCAAACCTCATGCTAACGCAGACCACATCAACAACAGACCACATCCTAATGCAGAGGTCTTTTTCGTGGAATCAGCTCACACGTTCACTGCTAAGTGATAAATACATAACGTATTAACCAGATCCAAGTATCTGGGCGAGAGAGAAAGATTTCAGCGGAAGGAAAGGAGGGAGAGGAGCCACACCTGCCGAATAAGTCAAGGATGAGGTCAGGAAGACGCCGACTCTACGGGTTTTTGGCAAACTGTGCAAAACTGAATAATTCAAGAGAGCTTTTCTATGCAGGTAACAGGGCTGGCACTGCACTGAATGGCTTACAAAGTTACTAGGAAATATGAGACGGGACTATGGTCTATACTACTGTGTATACAGCTTGCTGTAAATAGAACCCTACTATGCAATCGTTGCATCATTTAAAGTACCATGTTAATGCTTTACTTCAGCTGGGGGGGAAGCTGGTTTTTCTGGGGGGGGGCCTGGTTGATTCCAAGCTTCTACAGTTGTAACCCTATTGCATCGAGACGGGTCACCGTGTTAACCTGTCTGCAGCAGTAGAAAAGAGCAAGAGTCCAGTGGCACCTTAAAGACTAGCAAAACTTGTGGCTGGGTATGAGCCTTCGCGAGTCGCACATGAAAGTTCCTCCCCTGCCACAAATTTTGTTAGTCTTTAAGGTGCCACTGGACTCTTGCTCTTTTCTACTCCTATTGTATCATTCATTGACTGTCCCATCCTGCTGATCTGCACTGACTCACTCTGTGTACTCCACCTTAAGTCCTACTCAGAAAGGCGGGCTAAAAACAACCTAAAAAAAAAAAAAAGGAATAAAGAGAAGAAGTTTAAGCCCAGCCCTGCAATTCATTCCGGGGAAAACTCCGGAAGTAGGGTCAGAGGGGACAGGAGAACACGTCACTGCCCAGCCCAGCTCAGCAGCCAGCCACAGGACAGAGAAAGATGAATGCCCCACACACAACTTCCATTCACAATGTCAGCATCCCATGACAAACGGAAAAGCGCCTCCTCCCCACCCAACCCTGTCCAAGCCGGCAACGGTGCTCTTCCAACAGGGGTCTCTGAGGATGCCACAGCCGGGGCCCCATTCATTTCTTGAGCGAGAAGTCATTGGCTGCCAGCCAGACCGAGGCTTCTGGCCTTTTCTCCCTGCCAGCTGGGAGGGCTTCTGCAGCTCTTGCAGGGCTACCCTTGTGGGCTATAGGTCCCAATCTCCAGGTGGTGGCTGGAGGCCCATTCTCCTGGAGCAAAAGGCTGCCCTGGAGAACAGACTCTAGGGCATTATACTCCACATTATACCTCCCCTCCAATGTGCCCTCTAAGCTGTGGAGTCCTGTGAGCAAAAATGCTACTTTGGCCACAGCATAAATTGGTTTGCTCTGGAGCCAGCCTTCCCGAGCAAAGGCAAAAATGCCTGAGCCGGAGACTAAAGAACTGTCAGCTAGCTCACACTAACTGAACTTAGAGGGAACACTGATCATAGCCTCTAAGCTGCGGAGTCCTGTGAGCAAGATTCCTGCTTTGTGAGCCACTGGCATTAAAACGCTGTGAGCGGACGATTTGGCTCCTGCATAAATGAGTTTGCTCCGGAGCCCTCCTTCCTGAGCGAAGGCAAAAACATGTGAGCCGGAGGCTAGAAAACTGTGAGCTGGGCTCACACTAACTCATCTTAGAGGGAACACTGGTCATGGCCAATGCTCCCTCTAGGCTGTGGAGTCTTGTGAGCAAGAATTCTACTTGGTGAGCCACTGGCATTAAAGTTGCGAGCCAGCGATTCAGCTCCTGCATAAATTGGTTTGCTCTGGAGCCCTCCTTCCTGAGCGAAGGCAGAAATGTGTGAGCCGGAAGCTAGAAAACTGTGAGCTGGCTCTCACTAATTTCAGCTTCGAGGGAACACTCCTCCACATCAATGCTCCCTCTAAGCTGTGGAGTCCTGTGAGCGGAAATTCTACTTGGTGAGCTCCAGGCATTAAAACGTTGTGAGTGGACGATTTGGCTGCTGCATAAATTAGTCTGCTCTGGAGCCATCCTTCCTGAGCGAAGACAGAAATGGGTGAGCCGGAGGCCACACAACTGTGAGCTGGCTCACACTAACTCGGCTGAGAGGGAACACCCCTCCACATCAAAGCTCCCTCTCAGCCATGGAGTCCTGTGAGCGGAAATCCTCCTTGGTGAGCTCCTGGCATGAAAGCTGTGAGCGAGCCATTTGGCGACTCCTTAAATTATGTCTGCTCTGGAGCCCCGTCCAATGTTCCCTCTAAGCTGTGGAGTCTTGTGAGCGAAAATCCTACTTTGTGAGCGACTGTCATTAGAGTGGTGAGCGAGAGATTTGGCTGCTGCATCAATTAGTTTGCTCTGGAGCCCTCCTTCCTGAGCCAAGACAAAAATGTGTGAGCCAGAGGCTAAAAAACTGTGAGCCGGCTCACACTAACTCAGCTTAGAGGGAACAGTGGCCCTGTCCTCCCTGAGCGAAGACAAAAATGTTTGAGCCGGAGGCTAGGAAACGGTGAGCCGGCTCTCACTCACTCAGCTTACACTGAACAGCCAGGGCCGGCTCCAGCTTATTTTGCACCCTAGGCGAGGATCCCTTCTGGGGCCCCGTGCACCCACCAATGAAAACCCCAAATAATCAAGAAACTCCCGGAGTACAGGGCCGGGTGCAGTTTGGTGCCCCTAAGGGCTGTCCTGCTCTAGGCGACCGCCTAGTTCGCCTAGTGAGCGAGCCGGCCCTGTGAACAGCCCCTCCTTCCCTCGGGCCACACCCGCCCAGTGCCCAGGAATTCGCCCCACAGGAGTTGGCCGCCCGACCTGGCAGCAGACCGGGCCCGGCCACTGCCTCCCACCGGGGCCCTTCCCCCAACCTCTCCCGCTCTCGGTATTCCGGCCAGCTCCATTCTCGCGAGAAACGAGCGGGGCGGGCCGGCTGCCCAGCAAGCCGAGGAGGAGGAGGAGGGCGCAGAAGCGGGCGAGAGGCCGAGGACGCCCGAGAGGGAGCAGGCCCCGGCGACGGAAGTGGCGTCTCCGCCCAGGCGCGGCCCGGCCGCAGTGGCGGCGGCGGCGGCGGGGGGCGACGCTAGGAGACGTGCGGCCCGAGTCCGGCCCGGCCCTCTTTCCGCCCCCGCCCCCATCATCATCATCATCGGCCTGCCTGACTGTCTGACTGACCGGCCGACGAAGTTCTCGAGGACGGAGCTCTTGCCGGCGCTCTGCCCGCCCACCACGGCGATCTGCGGCAGGTCGAGGTGGCAGCTCTGCCCGATGGAGCTGAAGGCGTCCTGCAGCTTGTTGACCAGCGGGATCAGCTCCTCCATGCCCCGGTTGCCCATGGCGACGGCCTCCGCCGGCGGGCCCCCCTTCCTCCGGCCGCCCCCAGCAACAGCCGCCAAACTTCCCCTGCGCCGCAGCCTCCCTCCTCATCCGGCCACGCCCGCGGCCCGCCCCGCGCGCGCCGATTGCTCGCCGGCGCCGTCACTCGCCCCCGGCGCGGCCAATGGAAGGCTCGCGGGCCTTGTTTACTCGCGGGGCGCAGTTCCGGCGGGCTCTCTCGTTGGGCCGCCGCGCCCGTCGGTCCTGCTCTCGGCGAATGGGGAGCGCCCGACTGCCCGCAGGGCCCGCCCACCGCTTCCTTTGCCCTGGGTACGTCATTGGTGGCGGTGGGGGCTTCGCTGGAAAGAGGAGGCGCGATCAAAGCGGTCGGCGCCCCGCCCCGCCCGCCGAGTGCTCTTATCATTGGCCAAGGCGGTCGTCCTTCCAAAAGAGCAGCCAATCGCTTCAGTAAGAAGCCGCCCGAGGCTTACGTCAACCACGGGAACGGGCTCGTCGCTTCCTCTGTGCCGATCGCCTTGGCAGGACTCGGTCAAAGGTCATTTCCGCCGGCGCCTTTGCTTTCCCTGG